CACCGATTCCTCCCTGCCTGGAAAGGTTTCTCCCTCAGCTGCTTCCTCTCCTCCATGGCAACCCAGCTGCTCCCTCGCTGCCTGCCTGCATGGCTCTGAGGCGTGCGAGCAGGGCCGGAGCTGCTCCCGCCATGTGCCCGGGCAGGTGCTGCCGAGCCGGGGGCACCGCGGGGAGCTGGGGCTGGGCTGGGCTGGGGAGCTGCTGGGCTGGCAGAGGAGCATCCCCCATTTCCAGCGTCCTCCTTCCCACCCCGCTCTGCCACAGCAGGGCACGGAGCCCCCCCCGAGTCCCCTCAGCTCTGGAGCCCCTGCAGGGAGCTCTGTGGTGAGATGAGGGATGGGTGGGTGGGATGCAGAGGGGTGGGTGGGAGGTGCACGTGCTTTCCCCAGTACCAACAACTTTGCAGCAGCAGCTGCTTTTGGAGGGAGCGGGGGGCAGGCCCAGCAGCACCCCCGTCCCATGGAGGGTCCCCTTGGTATTCCCAGCTGGGGCTGCTGTGGGGTCTGCTCCCTCCTCCAGGGGAGGAGAGCCCAGCAGGGTGGGGGCCATGCTGGGCCCATCTGTTTCCAGCTGCAGGAGGGGGCACGGAGCAGCTCGAGGCTGCTCTGCCTCTGACAGAGATTGACTTAAAAAGAGACAAAACCCCGTCCCAGCCCGACCAGCAGCCGGCCCTTTGCTGGCCTAAATCTAAACCATACTTCTTTTTTTTCCCTAAGAGACTCCTTGAAGGGCTCTGGGATGCTGTGAGTAATATTTTCGGGGTGTTTACACTACGGCATGGTTTCTGTCTCCCAAAAAAAAAAAAAGACTCCGAGGGTGGTTTTTGTTGTTGTTGTTCTGCACTCATGAGTCACTTCCAGAGGGGAGCAGGAGCTGACGCCTGTTTTTTGAAAAGGCTCAGAGGTCTGAGAGTGGCTCCTCAGGCTGCACGTCCTGCCCACACCCTCCCCAGTGAGGCTCGGTGTCCCAGGGGGCTCAGCACCCTCTGCCCCCACAGCCCCGCCATCCCAGCTGCTCCAACACCATCAAACGGGGATCAGTTCCTCAAAAGTGAGCATTATTATCCCAGAGGTAGGAGGGTGCACACACAGCCTGGGCACACAGGGCTCTGTTCCTGCTGGGAAGCCTCACATCCCCACCCTGGGCAGGTGACCCCAGCATGGCCGTGGTCACCCCACCTGTGTGGGGTCACTGTGAGCAGCAGGGCTGTGGCAGCAATCCTCCTCCTCCCCACCCCGAGCCCATCCTGTCGGCTGCTGGGCACGGAGCCACCCCCACAGCTCTGGAAAAGCAGGTTTTCCCTGTGCCCCTGGGAAGCAGCAAGGTGGAGAGGGGAAGATGGAGCCTTTTCCTTGGTGGAATTGCTCCCAAGAGCCAGGGAGAGCTGCCCAGCCCTTTGGGACATGCACAGGGGAGGTGACAACCCGGTGTCCTCAGGTCAAGTGCCTGTCCCTAACCCCAGCTAGGCAGCGGGGCAAGGGGTGCAGCAGTGCTGAGGGTGGGGTGGGGAGCAGGGCTGCAGGACCCTGAGCCCCACTCCAGGGCCCTGGCACCCTCCTAGGGACACCCAAGGTCCCTAATGCCACCACTCACCCTGCCTCAACCCGCCAGTGCCAGCAGCACATCTGGGATTTCAGATTAAATCTGGAGCCACTCTCCTTGAGGAAAGGGGCCAGGCTCTGCAGGCAAGCTGCTGCTCCCCAAATGCCAGAGGGGACCCCAGGAGCTGCCCAGAGGGTGGCTGTGCCATGGGCTCAGGGCACTGCCCTGCAGCCAGGGCATTTTGCTGCCCAGCCAGTGCCAGGAGCATGCAGGGGGCATCTCTCCTGCCCCAGCGTGAGGGCTGGGGGATATCACGGCTGGCATGGTGAGCCAGAGCCGTGCCTGACTGACCTTCCTCCCTCCCACTCCTCCTCCTCACCCTGCTGGGACAGACGATGAGTGAATCCAGCGCCAAATCCAGCCAGCCCCTGGCCTCCAAAGGGGAGAAAGACGTGTCGGAGAAGAGGGGCCGAGGGCGGCCCAGGAAGAAGCCGCAGGTACGTGGGGGCTGTGAGAAAGGGGGGCTGGGTACCCCCAGGGTATGGGGCAGCAGGAAACCCCCCCATCCCACACCTGCACCCCCAGTGCAGCCCTGTTACCCCTTTGGGCAGCAACACCTTCCTGGGGGTCCCCAGAGCCCCCCCAGAGCTCCTGGGGGCTCTCCTGCCCCTCCCCAGGCCCTGCTGAACCTGCCTTTGCAGACAGGCTAATTAAAGCCCCATTAGCAAAAGCTGCTCAGAGAGATAAGATGCTGCTGGAGCCTTTATAGTACCAAACCCTGCTCATCCTCCCCCCGAGGTAGGTGGGGTTTGTGCACGTCGTTTTCCTGCAGAAAAGGTGATTTGTGGCTTCCCCGACACTTCCTTGGCTGCAGCACCAGCAGGGTCTGGTCTGAGGGGCCGTGGGGACCATCCTGCTGGGCTGAGTGGGTGATGCTGGGGGTGGAAAAGGTCACGTATGCCCAGCTGAAGGACACACAGGAGCCTGTGCCTGGCGTCTGACCGCCAATCCCAGTGCGACCAGTGCTCCCAGTACCACACGGGAACATCCCTGCCCTGGCTGGGGACAGCAGGAGTGCCAGGCTGGAGCACCCCAGGGTGCACTGGAAGCCACTGTGGGCATGCAAACCCCCTGTGCTCTCCCTCCAGCAGGAGCCCAGCGAGGCCCCGACCCCCAAGAGACCCCGTGGACGGCCGAAGGGCAGTAAAAACAAGGCCACCCCAAAGGGCAGGGTAGGTACCTGGCACGGGGCTGCTCCAGCTGGCTGCTGGCACCACACGTCCTGTTTGAGCTCAGTTATGGACAATTCAGGGCAGATCTGCCTCCGAGGTGGGGATGTGGGGAGGAATCTGGCCCGAGGAGGGTGGGGGAGCTGGGGGCTGTGTGTCAGCACCGGGACACCCGAGATAAACCTGTTTGCAAGGCAGGCGACTCACATCCTGCACCCACTCGTGACTCACGGGGCATCCCGGGGCTGGGGGGGCTCGGGGGGCTGGCAGCAGCGCCCCAGGAGATGCCACGGGGGTGATGAATCCAGCAGTCACAGTGGGAGGAAGGGGAGCACCGCCCACCCCTGCCAGCAGCCTGGGGACAGCCTGACCAAAATGCCTTGTTTTGTTGTCCTGGCTCAGAAAGCTGCAGTCACACCAGGGAGGAAACCTCGAGGGCGACCCAAAAAATCGGTGAGCGGGCTTTTTTCCCTTCCCCATCCACCCTGGCAGGGCGGTGGGCACTTTGGGGGCACAGCAGCTCCCCAGAGAGCCCCATGAGTGCGGGGTGGGGGCTGTGGGGTTGGAGGAGCTCAGAGCAGTTCAGCAAGTAGGACACTGCACTGGGTGGGCTCTGAAACCTCTAGAGGTGGGGGTTTGAGGAATGCTGCCCACCCCACCTCCCCATGGGCCCGAGAGCAGTGCTGCCTGGCTGGTCCTGCCCTGGGGACATGCTGGCACTCGCCTGCCCGGGTCCTTGCACAGCATTCCTGCAGCCCACGGGTGCAGCCACCCCCTTCCTTCCCTGAGCTTCCCCTCCTCCATTCCATTTCTCCTCCTTTCCCCCTCGGTTCACAGCTCGGGCAGGTGCCAGGTACCCGGACAGTTTCATCTCCTTACCCTGTCCCAGATTTTGCTCCTTTTCCCACCGAAACCCCCCGCAGAGCCGAGGGGCTGAGGCCAGCCAGGGCTGCAAACCCGAGGTGCCACCCTGGTGTCTCCCATGCCCGTGTCACAGTGCCAGGGGCAGTTTGGGGACCCCAGGGCGTGCAGCCAGCTCAGGGGGGTGTGGGAGGAGCCTGTCCCGTGCCAGCGGGGCCGTGCCGGGACACGATGTCCCTCTCGGTGGCGTTTTTGTGAATGGAGAGGGAGGAAGCGGGGGCTGCTGTGACTCAGGCTCACTCAGCCCTGAGTCACCGCCGTGTGTGCGGGGTCACGGCCTCCCACACCGGCCTGGGGGCTGGACAGGGACACCCGGGGCTGGCAGGGACACCCGGGGCTGCCACCACCCCCCCGGTGGCCGCTGGGGACCGCGGTCACGCTCGGAGGTGTTGGTGGGGGATTGCTCTGCCCTCCTCACTGTGAGCCCACCCGAGGGCTTCTCACCTGGGATTTACCTCCGAGCTGGGGTCAGGGCCAGTCCTTGCACCCAGGAGGGGTCCGTGGCTCAGTTTCTCCCTTTGCACCAGGGGTGTGGTGAGCCTGGGCAGCCCTGGGTGCAGGGGCAGGGCAGTGGGGCTGCTCTCCCTGACACCCCCTGGCCATGCTCCTTTGCCTTGCAGCAGCAGGACGAGGAGGAGGTGAACATTTCCCAGGAGTCATCCGAGGAGGAGCAGTGACACCTCCCGAACCGGCGCTACCTCATCGCCCCGCAGCGGCCGGGGGGGAGAGGGGCGGGGAGAGACCCACCGTGCCGCCCTGGCTCCCTCCTCCTCCTCCTCCCTCCTCCGCTCCCTCCTCACCCTCAGACAACGGCAGCACTGGAAAATGGCCCAACCCGGGCGGCCCCCGCAGCCCCCGCCCGGGGGGGGCACCTGCCCCAGCTCCCCCTCCCCAGCCCTGGGGGAGCCCCACTGGAAAGGGGGATCACGGCAGAGAGCCGGGGCTGGCACCCCCCACCTTGGCTGCCCCCCGCGCAGTGACCTCACCCCGCCAAAGTGGGTGCTGGCTGCCCCCCCAGCACTGGGCTCTGCCCTGGGGCCTCTGCAGGGAAGAGATGGGGGGGACAGTGAAGGTGAGACCCCCCCAAAATGCATCAGACCTTTGCTCTGACCCTGGGCAACCCCTGTGTCCCCCCAGTCCTGGGTGACTGCACTGTGTGCGGGAGCAGCTCCCACGGGGCCCGGCGCCCACCCCGGGGTGCCCACCCCCAGGGGTGCCCGTCCCCAGGGGTGCCCAGGCACGGCTGGCTCCAGCAGCCCTCTCCCCATAGGTTCTGGTATATATATATTTTTTTTTTCGTTTAGTACTTTTTTTTTTTCCTTTCATTCACAACTACCTCTGGATATTTAAGTTCCACGCTCTGAACTCACAGACGTGCTGCTGCGCTGCCAGGGCACCGTGGGCTCGCTGGTTCCTGTTTTTGGGGTGTTGCTGGGGGCTGTGGGGTATTTTTTTTTTTTCCCCTTTTTTTTTGGGCTTCATTTTTCTTTTTTTTTTTTTTTTTTTTTTTAATTGTTATTTTGAGGTCTAGTTTGCTCTGCTGCTTCAAGGGATCGAGGCTGGCAGGGCAGAGGTGTGGGGGGACCAGGGATGCTCCCCCTGCCCCTCTGCCCCGGCACGACGGCTGCAGCGGGACCGGAGGTCGGTGCCGGGCGGCCCCGGCGGGAGAGAATCGGGGTTTGGTTTGGGTTTTTTTTTTTGGTTCACTGTTAACGACCTTTTGGGTTCCTATTTGCAGTTACTTGAATAAAACATTTTATGGATGTTTGTGAGCCTCTGTTCAGCCCCCAGGCATCTCCTGCACAGGGACATCCAGCCATCCACGGGGATGAGCTGCCGATGGAAACACAAACAGGCAAAGCCCTGCTGCCCCCCAAATTCCCACCCAAGGCCAGGAGCCCCCAGCCCCACTCGGAGCCCCGGGGCCAAGGCAGAGACATATTTATTTACCCCATCTTCCCCCAGGTATCCCGTGCCAGCAGATATTTATTTACCCCATCTTCCCCCAGGCATCCCGTGCCAGCAGAACCTGCTGCTCCCTGCCAGTCTGCCAGCCCCATAGGCCCCTCCTGGGCTTTCCAAGGGGCTGCTGGAGCAGCTCAAGCAAAGGAAAAATGGCAAAACCAGGCACTGAGGTAGGAGATGTCCCATCCCGGTCGGTGCTCGGAGGTGCGGGCAGCAGCTGTGGCACCGCCGTGGGCACAGGCTGCCCGTTGTGGCTGATGGCACCAGTGCTGCTCCCTTCCCTGCGGCGGGCAGGATCCGGTCCCGGTGCTCCAGGCAGGGTCAGGCCCTCCAGTCCCGGCGTGGGGGCCAAGGGGGCGGGGGTCCCCCCCAGCCGGGCACCACCTGCAGCACAAAGGGACACAGCTGCAGCCCAGGGCATGGCGGCGAGGCACTGCCCTCCCAAAAACCTCTGCGTTACACCCAAACCCTGACTCCCTCGAGGTGGAACTCAGCATTCTTGGAGGTCTTTCCCAATCTCAGTGATTCCCAGAGTTCCCTCAGGACAGGCATCTCACTGCTGCTCCTTCAATTTTCCAAGGAAAAACGGGATAAGCGCCAATTCCCAGCCCAGCTACCCACCTGAGCCTCCTCAGCCTCCACCAGCAGCTCCTGCTCGGACTCGGGGGGCTCCTCAGCGGGGTCGTAGCTGTACATGGGCAGCAGCCGGTGCCGCAGCCGGTCCGACCTGCCGGGGGTCGCTGCTGAGCGCTGCCCCCGCAGCCCCCCGCAGCCCCCCGCAGCCCCCAGCCCCGCTCACCTGCGCTTCTTCTTCACGTACATCACCTGCGGGGAAAGGCATCAGCGGCGCGGGCTCCGCCGGGCCCCGCGCCCCCCGTGCCCCCCGCCCGCCCACTCACCGCGGCCAGGAGGGCGCCCAGGAGGGTGAGGAGGAGGAAGGGCCCCAGCACGGAGCCCACCAGCGAGTCCCCCGCCGCGCCCGGCGCTGTGGGGGCCGTGGCGTTGCTCATGGCCCGGCGCCGGCTCCTGCCCGCATCGGGGGCGCCTGCCCGGCACCGGCGGCCTGGGAGCGACCGGAACACCGGGAGTGACCGGCACAGCGGGAATCCACCGCCTGGGAATGTGGGAATGACCCTCATCCCGGGAATGAGCCGCACCTCGGGAATTCACCGCCTGGGAATGACCCGCACCCCGGGAATGACCTGCACCCCGGGAATGACCGGCACCCCGGGAATTCACCGCCTGGGAATGACCCGCACCTCGGGAATGACCCCCATCCCGGGATGACCTGCACACCGGGAGTGACCCCCACCCGGGAATGACCCTCATCCCGGGAATGATCCGCACCTCGGGAATAACCCCTCACGCCAGGAATAACCCACCGCCCGGGAATGACCCGCACCCCAGGAATGACCCCCACCCTGGGTACCCACCGCCCGCAATGACCCGCACCTCGGGAATGATCCGTACCCCGGGAATGACCCGTACCCCGAGAATTCACCACTCGGGAATGACCCGCACCCCAGGAATGACCCCCACCCTGGGTACCCACCGCCCGCAATGACCCGCACCTCGGGAATGATCCGTACCCCGGGAATGATCCGTATCCCGGGAATGATCGTCACCCCGGGAATGACCCGTACCCCGGGAATGACCCGTACCCCGAGAATTCACCACTCGGGAATGACCCGCACCCCGGAAATTCACGGCCCGGGAATGACCAGCGCACAGGTAATAACCCACCTCCCGCCCGGTGATAACCACGACCCGGTCACGATCCCCGCCCGGTATCACCCTGTGCATAGGGGGGTCACCCCGCACCCCCTTCCCCGCAGAGCTGCGGCTTGGGGGGGGGATCCTCCTCCACCAGCGGGAGGACCGGAGGGACCCCCGCACTGGGCTGTGCCCGGGACGCCCTCGGACCCCCGACCCCCATCCCAGTCCCCCCCTTTTCCTCCCGGTCGGGGTCGGGATGCCCCGGGGTCCCCCCTCCCCCCCCCACTCCGGGGATCCCCCGCGGCAGGGGGCGGGGCCAGCGAGGTAATGGGCGGGGCTTAGGGCGGTGGCCGCGCGCGGCCGGCAGGGGGCAGCAAAGACCGGGCGGGGGCGGGGCGGGAAACGGCGTGAGGGGAGAGAGGGAACGGGGCCGAGAAACCGGGAAAAACGGGAAAATGGGAACCCGGAGAGCCAGGAACGGGAAAACGGGGGGGGAAATAGGGAGAAAGGAGGAAACGGACCCCGGGGGGGCGCACAAGGAAAGGTGAGTGGATAGATGGAGGGAGGGATGGCCAAAGGTGAGTGCCCAGGTGGGGGTGTGGGTGAAAGGAGAGGGATGGATGGTGGATGGAATCCATGGATGGATGATGGATGGATGGATGATGGGATTTGTGGGTGTGGTGGCAGACAACCATCCCACAAGGCGGGGGATTCCGGGGTGCCAGGAGCACAGGCAGGGTCACCCCCGCTGGGGGCTCTCGCTGTGGCCGCTCCCCCCCGGCCGGGCCCGTGGGGACTCTGGCACGGCGGTGACGGTGCCAGCAGTGTCACCCACAGCGCCCCAGCCCTGATCCCGGCCGCACGGCTAATCCGCTTTGCCCGCGGGGACCAGATGGTGCCGCTAAATGGGTCAGGCAGGAGCGGGGAACACCAGGAGCACCGGGCCCGCCGCGCTTCCCAACAGCCGCCAAAAATACCCATCAAGGGGAACGGGGTGAAAGAGGAGCCTGGACGTGGCGGGGCTGGGGGCACACGGCCCCTGGGCTGGCAGCAGGGCAGGGCTCAGGCACCGAGGAGCACCCAGAGCCGCCTGAGCTGGTCGGGAAGGGCAGCGACTGCTCTGCAGCCTCTGGGATGAATTTGTCCATGGCACAGCCAGCTGCACCCTGCCTGCACCCTGTCTGCACCTCTGCCTTCACTTCTGCCTGCACCTCTGCCTGCACCTCTGCCTGCACCTCTGCCTGCACCCTGCCTGCACCTCTGCACCTCTGCCTGCACCTCTGCCTGTCCCAGTCCCTGCACTGCTGCCCTCTCCTCCTGCCCAGCCCATGCAGGGTTATTTTCCCCTCTCCAGACCAGGAAAAGCCACCAGCTGTCCCGGGAGTGGCCAGCCGCTGTTGTTCCCCATGTCCCACTGTCCCCAGGGTCCTGCTGACCCCACTCTGCCCAGCAGTGGCACTGCTCTCCTTGTGTGTGTGGACTCCCCCTGCCCCAGAGACCCTTCCCAAACCAGCCCCTGTTTATCCTGCAGTGGGGGAACCACAGAGCGGGGCAGGACCCCCAGTGCCCCCCAGCCCAGCACGGACCCCTCGGGAGCCTTCCCCGCTGCCACCATCCGCCGCTGCCCGTCCCCTCCCAGCCGAACCCTGCTGCGCCAGGGCTAAAAATAAACCCATCCATTTCTAGGAAAGCTCCTTGGAGAGCATGAGCGAGTGGGAGCACATGGCCAGGAGCAGCACGCGTGGTCTGGGGGAAGCGGCATCCCCGGGAGAGACCGGGGGTCACCAAGCCCAGGACACCTGCAGCATCCCCACATCCCGCGGGGACCTTTATGATTTACCAATCCGCTGCTTCCCAGAGCACCCAGATGAGGGAAAAAGGGGAATCAAAGAAGCTGGGGCAGCACAGGACCTGCTCATCCCTGGAGAAATCTCCGCCTTGCTGACCTTGGGGTGGGGAAGGATGTCAGGGGGGCTGAGGGCAGCATCGCCGCCCACCCTGGGGACACGGCACCTTCGTGCCCGGGGTGTCAGCCAGAGGGACAAAGCCGGAATAGCAGCACAGGGTATTTATTTCTGCCCCAAACCCCGCTGTGAGCCATCAGCCCCCTCCCCTGCGCTCCTCGGCCCCCAGCACATAACTGGGGACAGCTTTGCCGAGCCGCTAAGCTCCCGTGTAAGCAGCTGAGCGCGAGCGGCCGGATTTGCAGGCAGCGCATCCCTCGGGCTGCTCATCCGCGCAGAAAGGCCGGGCTGCGGGGCCGGGTGCCTCGCCGCTCGGGCATTAACGCGGATTAATTCCGCACCGCGGGGCTGTGGCACCCCAGCGCCCTGTGCTCTGCGGGAGGAGCCTGGCCGCACCCAGCTCCCAGAGGGAATCTGCAAAGGCCCGCTTAGGGGTGGGTGTGCACACCGGGACACGTTTGTTTCGCAGGGAAATGCGGGAGGTCGCTGCTCTGTGGAGCAGGCAGCCCCCCTGGCACCACTCCGGCTCCACCCGGCCTCTCCCGCAGCTGTTCTGTGGGAAGGATTTTGTGGAAGAGGTGGGAGCACATTCAGAGGCTCCTCGAGGCTCTGTCCTCAAAATGCCCCTTTTTATTGCGGGGAGCATGTCCCATCAGCGAGCCCATCTCAACACCAGGGAGCCTTCACCTTCCTTGGTGACATCCCTCCAGTTCCTCCTCCAGGCTGTGACTGTCCCAAGCCACTGCAGGGACAGCTTTCTCCTTGGGTGACACCGTTGCCCAATCTCGGAGTTCACCTAGGAAGCAGAGACCAGGCAAGAGGCAGAGCCGTGTGAAATACTGGCGTGTTTATTGGTTGGCACTAGATTACAGCCCACACTCTCGGCAAACTGGCACCCACCAATTTCATTTTTTCCATTTTTCACTCTTTTAAAGACAGTGGCGGCCTCCCTCTCACACACAACTCAACAGAGGAAACCCCTCGTGACAGGACCCACCCAGCTTCACACACGGAGAACCTTCCAGCCTTTCTGGAGACACCACAGCTGAGAGGTCAGAACCATGCAGGGATGTCCTGCACCTGCCAGCCAGCACTGAGCAGAACACCTGCTCCTGCAGGTGAGGTCCAAGGTACCAGCTCAGAACAAAGCAGAGATGCTCAAACCCCCACAGCTCTGACCAGCCATGGACAGTCCTTGTTTTGGGGAGGAATGGAGAAGCCTCAGGCAAAAATGCCTGTGGACAGGAGGCTGGACAATGGACGCTGGTCATTCATCCCTCAGATGGGTCTGGGGTCCCCTTCTCCTGATTTGGGGGGACTGCCAGGAGCCCCCCATGTACACACAGCTCATGGAAGGACTGAGCAGCAAATGCAAAGTGATCATTCCAGATTTTCTGATTTAATAAATATAAAATAGGACACACAGGAAATTCAACAAACACTCTCAGACCTCCCCAGGTTTCTGAGGCAATTCTAGAGCAAATTCATCAAGTATAACATCAAAATTCCCATCTTCCCACCAAAAAGAAAACCAAACCAAAAACAAAACAACAGAAAAGAAAAACCTCTATGGACTAGCACCAAAGAGAGATGTATAAATCTCCTAAATACAACTTCAGTCCAGTTCAGTTTCTTTTTCACCACCTCAGGTTTTTTTTTTCCACCAGCTCCACTTTAGTTTTGTACAGACCCCTGACACTATCCCAGCACAGCACCCCAGGATCTCTGCATCCCAGAGCAGCTGGATTAGTTCATTCCAAGCTTAGAAAAGGAGAATCCCACCCTGTGTGTGCCAGGGGCTCGGGGAGCACTGAGGGACACCCAGCCATGAGGTCACCACGTCCCTGCAGGGCTGCAGCCACCAGGTGATGCCGTTATTGAGGAGAACAGAGCCAGGAGGGAAAACCCAGCCTGGGAGCAAGACCAGAGCAGGCCCTGGGTCAGCCAGAGGGAAAAGCTCCTCACAGTCACTGCCTGGGGCAGGTTTGGCTGAAGGTGCAGCTCCATCCTCCCCCAGCACCAGCCACAGGCTCCACTTGGGAGGGTGAAACCCCAAAGCAGCCCCTGACCAAGCCCCAGTGCACAGGGATGGACGCTGCACCCGGCTGTGTGAAACCACAAACAGGTTAATTTGGGACAAAACAGAGAGAACAGGCAGGAAAACCCACAGCTCTGCTACAAGGGGTGCTCGCTGGACCTTGCAGCCTCCAGGATTTTGATCCCTGCTCGCTGTGGAATGCTGAACACAGCTTCTGCATGGAAAAGCTGAGGCAAAGGCCCAAAGCCTCTGCTGGATCCGGGAAGGGAACTGAGGATTCCTGACATTCCCTACCCACATTTTTAGCCACTGAATACTTTGTGGCCACACAAGGGAAACAGCAACACTTGCAGATTCCAGCCCCTTTTCATTTTTCCCTTTACAGAGTTTGCTTTAAGGCACATTCCAGCTCAGGCTGAGCGAGCTGCCTCAGTGCTCCACAGGAGAGCAGGGAAGAGCTCACAGCACCCACCTACACAGGAACAGAGCTGCTGGGAATGCTGACACTGCTCCTTCCAGCCCCAAACCCAGCTCCCAGCTTCCCCCCAGCAGCAGGGCAGACAGCAGCAGGTTTGGGTGCTGCCTCCCCAGCACCCATGGGTGAGGGACCCCCTTCCCCCTTCCTCTTCCCCTCTCCCAGCTGGGTGATGAAGAGCAGCCCCTCCTCACCTCACAGCCCACAGCAGCTTTCAGGACCTGCCAGGAGGGGGGAGCAGAGGGCTGCTGCACCTCCCTGGCTGTCTGGGGACACCCTCTGTGGTAGGCAGCTCCCAGCAGTGCCCAGAGAGCACAGCCGGGCTGAGAGCCAGCTGAGAACTGCTCCCAGGGGATGCTGAGACACAGTGACACCTCACACAGGGGTCAGGCCAGCTGAGGTAAGAATCCCACGGTCCAACACCAGCAGCTTGGAACAGCACCGGTCTGAGCACAGCTGGGAGCTCATCCCCTGGGGCTCGGTGGCCCCGCAGTGACACTGAACACTGCCAGGGCTGCAGAAGCAGAGCCACCCTCCCACAGCTGCCCTGGGCCTCTCACAGACAGAGCAATGCTCAGTCCCAAACCAATTAACACCAGTTTAGGTAAAACCACTCCAACTGCTGTATGAGCTCTGGAGGAACCTCAGCTGCTGAGGAAGATGGGAATTGTGTGGTGCAGGGAGAGGTTCAGGGAGCACAGGGCTCAGGCCTGGTCTGAAATGTGCATCTCTTCCACCAAGGCTGTTCCTGCCCCAGGAGCCATTTCCAAGGCATGTTATGCCCTGTAACATCAGCCACTCCGTGGTAACAGCATCAATCCATGCCACATTAAAACACTTTCTTGGCACAATTTATTTTTTCTGACCCAAACAAATAAGCCATTAGCAAGTCATTAACAATATTCTACCCTAAATTGTCAGTTTAACAGCCCTGTAAAAACATTTTTAGTTTAAAAACAAAAGTGTGCATGCTGCTGATATTAAAACTGCAGTTACTCTTTCAGGAGTACCAGCTGTTTTGTTGCAAAGCATTTTTCCAACATACTAATCTGTACAGTGGAGACCAAGACTCGTTGAAGGCAGTAGATGGCTGTGTCAGGTGCCTCGCAGGGCACGGGGACAGCGACTCTGGGAATTTCTTGGACACTTCCAGATGGAATATTCAAGCCCTTTTGAGAGTTTGGTTCAGGCTGACCAGCACAGAGTGAGAAAGGATTGTACATTCGTCTCTAAGTTGAAGTGAGCTGAACTGGTGTAATTTGGGCTCAATTCCAGACGCTCGGGTTTGAGCTACTCCTTGAATAATGGGCTGTTCCTTACGCGTGGTTTTCCATGTCAGCGATCACTGGCACTGCTTTTGGCCTTGCTACTCCACACCGATGAAAGCAGGGAGAACAAGGAAAGGAACAGAAAAGGATCTTAAAATGAACAGCTTCTTGCCAAACCAGCAAGGATACCATTCCCCCTTGTCCCAGGCTCCATGGATATTTCTATCAGATTTTCATATTGTAAGCGCTTCTCAGGAAGAGAGAAAACTCCAGAACAGTGAGTGTTTATTAGAATATTTTTTGTTAAATAAAGAGCAGGAAAAAAAAGGAAAAAAAAAAAAAAGTACTGCAGATTTAATTTCACATCTTGGCTCTGCTCTGACAAAGGAGAAGTTACTGAACTCAGCAACCACTTCTTGTCCCAAGCCAGGGATTAATTAATGCCCCTCCCAAAACTTGTACCTGTCCCAACCCACCCCCCGACCCCAACCCCAACCCTTCCCATTTTATTTCCCAACTAGACAACACTGTTGGCAAATCAAGACAGCATGAAACTTACAGCAATAAAACAACAAACCCCCAGGTGAGTGCGCCAACGCGTCGGGGAGCCCTCCTGCGCTGCTGCCCCGGGAATGCTGCCTGCAGGAGGCAGCTGTACCTTTCACAGAGGGCACACTCCAAGCACGCTCCACGGTGCGACCCTAAGTGCTGCAGAACCACAGGACAAGAGACTCAACACCCGAATTCTCCCCCCGGAGGCTCCTCTTCGGGGCCGCGCGCGCGGCTCTCCGAGCGCGGCCCGGTGCTCGGCACAAACCCCAAGTGTCCAGCTCAGCACGGCGTAAGGCATGTGGACGAGAGAGACACGAGCAGGACGCGGCGGGAGCAGGGGACAGCGGTGGTGAGCCTGGCTGCAGTCTGTCCGTCCGACCCCCTGCATCCCCGGCTCCCACCGCAGCGACCCGGGCGCTGTTGCAGCGCTGCTGAGGCTGTTTGGTTTTGGCTCCAGACCAGCTCCAGTGCAGTTTCCCTCGGATGGAAACGCAGAAACGTTGGTGGAAGCTGCCGGAAAAGCCGCGGGGATGGCTGCAAGGATGTCTGCAGGTGATCCGAACTCTGCCCTCAACTTCAAGTGTCACTGCACTAAATCGGGAGATACTGGTTGGGGAGTGAACTGGCCCAGCCACTAGCACTGTCACAGAATGTGTGTGTTTAAAAAACAGAACAAAAGGCAAACAGATTAATTATGAACCCTTCTTTTCAGAAGCAGACCAGGATTAAAAAAAAACCTCCCGCAAAATTAAAATGTTAGATCCTCCATCTAAAAAAAAGTTTATACAGACGTGCTGCGAGTAATCCCCACACGGGTCTGAGCAGCACCTTACAGTACAGACTAAGACTTGAAGAGCTGATCTCACATTGGAAGTCTTTTAATTAAAAAAAAAAAAACGAAAAAGTGGCTCTGGCTGGGGTGACACGAAGGGGACACTTGGGACACTTCAGAGCACAAGGCAGATGCGGGGCTGGCAGCCTCCAGGCCGTGGAGCGGAGTACCGGGAAAGGGGCACTTCATGCACAAAATGTATTTTACAAAATACAGATCCAAAAAAAAGAAAAAAAAAAAAAGCAAAAAAAGCCAACAACAACAACAAAAAAAAATCATCCCACCTTGCACTAAATCGCAGCACTCTGAACACTTGCTCTGCCCCAGGCGGCTGCCCATGCCTGGTGTGAGGGAGGAGGCATGGAAACGGGGAGGGGAGGGAAATCCAGGTCTCAGTCTGCTTTAGGGAACTGCTCGGGCAGGGACGTGCTCAGTCATCTGATGTCGGACACGGAGCCCTCGGAGTACGGCGTGCTCATCACCGGGGTGCCGTTGTTGGCCAGACAGCCTTGCCTCAAGGTCTCAAAATACGAGGCCTGCACTGGTTTGTGATACTGCAGAACTTTTATGGCATCCTCTATCTTGAACCATTCCCTTTTCCTTCCTGCGGGCAAAGAGAGAAATCAGCTAGATGCAACAGAATGGTGTTCTCTGATCTCAAGGGCCTCCCCCTCCAACCCCACACTGACAGCTCCCATCCATCCCCAGGGACAGTTCAGGGCAGTACATCCCCCGTCTCACATTTCTTAATTAAAAAAACCATTATTTTACAACTTCTGCAACTTCTATTCAAGCCAGATGCTCATTATATGATAACTCACAACACACACACCAAGCACCACCCAATTTCCATCAGTTTGCAAGTGGACTTCAGTCTCCTGTGGACAGCTCTCAGTTCTTAGTCTTTCCATCAAGAGCCTGAAGGGAGTCATGTTCCATTTGCTGAAATGCAGTCACAAACCTTGTGGCAACAACAGGTTCATTTCCACTTGAGAATCCAATTAAACACAAAGGTTTCAAAGGTAACAGGGAATGATTAACCCAATACTGCTCACATGTATTTCCTCTAGTCTCAAACAGGACAGTTCTTCACCTTTGCTTGGTACCATCCAGTGCAAGAATTAAACACAAAATTGCTGCAGAGGCAGCTGGACACTCAATTGGCTTCTCCTGAGCCACAGAGGTGACAAATCATCAATTTCACCACGACTTTTTTTCCCAGGCAACCAAAGGACACAGCGCTGCAACTTTTCCCAATGACACTCACACACACTCCAGGTCCCAGTGACACTCACACAGACCCCAGGTCCCAGAGGGGTGCTGAGCTGACCTGTGGCTTGCTCCCACCAGTTAATGCACCAAGCTTACCAATATTGACAGAGTCCTCCCAGTCCTCCAACACTTCGGTGACGATGAGTACGTAAACATAAGTCCTGTGCTTCCTGTCCCGGTTCTGGAAGGAAAAGGGGACAGAGTAACAACCAACCAACAGCAACCACAAACCCTTCTAGGAGGGCACTGGGCTGCTGCAAGATGCAAACTGCCCACCTTGGGTGCAGCTCCTGCCACAGCACAACTTGTTCTTAGCTACTAAAAACTGCTGTGTTTTAAGTCAGAGAGGTCTGAAAGTGTTGATAGGGACACCCAAAAGTGTAGTTCATGATCTGTGGACTGATGTGCTTACAAATTAGTTCTTCAGCTGGGAAGGTTTTGACCTATTTCACATGAGTTTGAAGGAGTCAGTGCCAGAACAACAGCAAGAAGAGCTGTATCCAGTATATGTTGATGCCAGGTGTGGCTGTGAGTGCTACAAATAAAGGGGAGACTCCACTCCCCTGCTTTTGGCAGCACCAAGAATATTCAGCCACACCAGTTACCACCAGTGATTTCACTGAAGTGCCCCTTGCACAGATCAGAACTGTGTTTTTATTTACCAGTGAGGTTCACTCCACAACCCTGCAGAGCCATTGTTACTCCAAGATGATTTTTTGCAACAAAATTTCACAGTGTCCACGTCTGAAACTTACCTCAAAAATTCCCACTAATCTTCCTAACGTCCCTTTCACTCCAGCCTAGGGAAGTTCAAAGAGAAAAGAAACATGCTTTAACAACAGCTCAGTACATGTGTCCTACTTGTTGTGCAGGACCAGTTCCTTTAGGACGGAAAGCAAACGCTCTAAAATTCTGCTCGTCTTAAACCAAGACAGTCACAAGGCAAAAAACAGAAATGTATCCTCAATGTCCAAGCATTCCCAGGGTTTTTTTCTCTTGTTTTCCTACATTCAAACAATTTTGAATTCAATCAGGAGGAAGAAGAAATATTTGAGGAGTTACTCCTTGCATACCAATACAGTCCTCGTGACCTGAATCTTCTATGCAGGTTATTACAGCCTGAGCAAGGGGAACATTGGCTTTGGGGTTTGGCAGTTTTACCCCTTCAAAATCAGAGTTTAAGGAAATAAAGTATGTGTAAGATATTCACCTACACCCCAAGAGTGATGTGAAAGCTCCCAGGTATTTCAGGGGTGTCCTGCACACACCTGAAACAAGCTAACATAAACACAAAATGCTGTGATGTGGCCCTGGCAGCAGGAACTAGAGAGGTTTGGATACAACACAAAGGGCAGATGCACACTGAAATAAAGCTCTTGAATCAAGCAGAGGCACAAATCAAGAGATCTAAGCAACAGTTTTGTCTGTTTGAATACTACTGAGGATGTACCACTCCATCACATTTGGTGTCCCTTTTGGCACCTCTCTGCTGCCTCCCTCCCCACCCTCCTCAGCTCTCTGTGCAAAATCCCAGCCCACTCTCCTGCCCTGGCTTTATATTCCCTCTGTTTTATGACTGTAAATGGTTGGAACTCAAGTGCTACAGACAAGATGAGATCTTGCTCCATGATTTAACAGGTCTGAACCAACCCACACAGCCTGGCACACGACCCAGCCACAACTGGGAGGTAGAGTCGGCTCCATCTCCAGCAGCTGGAACACATCCCATGAACAGCCCAGGGAAATTGTGCCTCTTGCAGATGAGATACAGAGATATGATTATGCCAGGCTGCTCTTTTTTTGAACAAAAAAAAAAAAAAAAGGGGTTTGAGTCACATTAATGATAAGACAAATTCTCTGTCCTACTGACCAGCTGCCGCACAGTGCTGTCAGAAAGGAAGAACTTTCTTTAATGAGACAATTTTCCTGATTAAGTTCCAGCCTACTGTATGAACAGGTACCAGAGAATCCAGCCAGAGAACACCTCACTCCTGCTTCCAGGCTGCTGATGTGGAACTGCCCCCGGAGCAAAGGGTTTGGAGCTCCCTCACCGAGCAGTCACAAAAAATCTCGAAATCTTTTTGGTAACGCGCTCCACTTCTAGGAAGTGAATCAACTGAATCTCCCGTTTCATTTTTGGACACCAGCTTTATTGTCTCACCAGTACTTGTGCCATCCTGCTCGGCCAGAGGTGCCTCCCAGCCTGTGACTCTGGGCTATTTCTGGAGCGAGCAGCAGCAATTCCAGGCGGGTCGGTGCCCGCGTGCGCAGGACGGGCCGGGCACAGCCCGCTGACCTTTGTGATTCCACCTCCTGTGCCAACCCAGCTGACCTGCCCTCAGCCCTCTCCCCAGGCATCTGGAATGTAAATGCTTCAAATGCATTTCCCTCAAGGAACTCCTTCAGCGCTGGGATTTATTTTTAGCTCGGCCGTGTTCAACAGGCAGCAGAAACACGGGGAGGAACTGGAGGCTTCCACCTTCACAGCACACGGACAGGAATGCATTAAAAGGTGAAGCATCATCAAATATTTCTGGAAAATAACTGTCTTAAGCAAATGCTCCACCGGTTCCTAGAAAAGGTTGTTGAATTTCTGCTCTCCCTACCTGTAGGCACTGAATCAGAAGCCAGGGATTTTGTTGTGATGGTTTAGTGAACTCTCAAGTCTGACTAGAAATAAATTTATCTCCAGGCAACTGGCCAACCTGGAGACGAAGGATGAGTTCTGCTCAAGCAGCCTCCCAGGCAGTTTATCCCAGCTCTAGTAAGTAGCAGAGGGAGGTGAGGAGCCCTTCCTTCTGTGCTGGTAAAGAGATGATGGAAATAACGCTGTCTGCAAACCAGGATCCTCCTGCTCTGTCCTGCCTGGTCTTATTTGCCCAAAAAGGCACAAAAAACGATGCCAAGACAAACATGTCTCGTAGAAAAATCATGTTGAATTATCATCACACAACTGGAGAAAGCTCTAAGCTTTGCTTCACACACAAACTTCTCATGTGCAGTTGTAAATGGCGACATAAAAGAATTGTTTGGTTCAAAAAAAAAAAACATTGGGCTGATTTTACCAAAGCCTGCAAAACACATCAGCCACTGCTCCTGGGGGCCAATGCCTCTCTCAGCCCATTTTCCAGGTACAGTGGATTTTAAAGACAACATGCAGGACACCCAACACCAACAGGATTGTCAAACACGTGGTTTTGATAGAGCACTGAATTCCCACACCAACAGGAGAGTTGTTGCTGTAGAATGGAACAAACAAATATGGAAGTGGAATTCACAGTCTCACACAAATTTCTAACATAGAAGTTGCTCAAGACACCTGAGAAAATAACCTACAGCTGTTATCACTGACAAGTCAAGCTTGGTAACCAGCAAGAGAACTGCCAGGCTCCTCTCTGGGCTCCCCATCTTCTCCTTTTATATGGGCAAGATTTTCTTGAAGAGTTAAAGCACAGTCCCAGGCTCACCCAGGATTGCAGCAGGGTCTGAATCTTAATTTGCAGCAGATGACTCAGGAATTTTCTCCTTGATAGTAAATTAATGGCCCTCCTGGGCCAGACAATGAGGCAGAGGCAGCACAATTGATTTTGTGGCCCTCTAAGCACTGCAAGTGCTGCAATCCTCCAAGTACAAGGAGAATCCCAGGAGGATCCCAGGAGGATCCCAGGAGGATGCTCCTGAACCCATCAGCAGGGGCAGGAGAGCACCAGCACCAACTGTTCCAGCTGCAGGTGTGGAAACAAAGCAAGGCAATCACACTACAGGATTCCCTGGGAAAGGCACACTCAGGTACAAGAGGCCACAGAGCTGGCAAAATGAGCTTTTTCTCTGCTCTGCTGATCTAAATCAGTGTCCAGGGTTCAGGGGAGGAGGAAAAGGCAGCTCTGGCAAGAGCACATCAGCCACAGGCACTGCCAGAGCCAGCTGCCTGCCCAGCACACACTTCAAACCCCCAGTGCTCCCAGAGGGGTGGGCTAGCAGCTCAGGACAAGCAACAAAAACCTGGAGGAAATGAAGCTTTACTAGTTCTGCTGCTCATGGAACAACTTGTTTTAATAAAGAAAAATTACTGAAGCCATCCAAGAACAGCAGGTTCAGGTTTCAAAGCTGAAAATAAGTTGGGGTCAGATGCAAAAAGCAGCCTGCAGCAACACCATCTGTTCCTCGGGACAGCTTTTATTTCCTTCCATCTGAGCTAAGGAAAATGTGGGTTGGAATTTCAGCTATTTTACTTTGCTCTATTAGGCTCAAAGCCTGCATCTACTACAGATTACTGCTGGGCAAGAGAACTGTGGTGGAACACCCAAATCTTTGCTCTAAGACCTGCACTAGTGAAGGTGCAAATCCCACCCAGGAGGGCTGTGGACACGTTTGGAGGATGCTGATTCCAGGCCAGCTGGGCAAACTCTGCCATCTCAGAGAGGGCCAGACTCATTCATCTAATCTGGTACTGCATGACACCTTTATTTTGTGAAATAGAAATGGAATTCCCTACCAGAATGAAGAACTTTCTGCAATCGTTTTTGTGGAGTCTGAGTACACAGGGTAAGGGACAGTGACTTTGAGCCACCACTTGCACTGGGTATGACCAACGAGGAAGGGTTCAAAGGCCATCATCTCATCATTTATCTGTGGGCCCTGCAGTACTTTAAAAAAAAAATCTTCCCATTTTAGCACTGAAAGATATCAATATCTGTGTTCTAAATCACTAACAAAATACATGAAACAGGAAAGATTATCTATAAAGCATGTTTAGAAGAGGGAAAAAAAAAGTTCCAGCAACCAGATCAAAGCACTGCCGTGATGGACTATTCTTGATATTGGCACCAATTGCCTGTTTGATCACAGATCAAGCACAGATTACCTGGCTTTTGACTCCCATGAAAAAAAGAACAACCAACACTCCTGCAGTGTTATAAAATTTGACATTTATTAAGTATTTAGAGGTCAGGATGTGAAGAATGCTCTAAGTGAAAAAGGAACTGGTGCTGAGTGTCACAGATGAGTGTGGAGGCTTTTTCCAAAGTGGCTCTATAATAAGTTTAAGGCATCTAGTTCTAAACCATGATGTTCACCAGTTGTTCACACCCACAAAAACCCCTTACTCCTAAGCAAAGAACACACTCCATGAGCACCACGACCTGTTTGAAAAGGGCACACACCTTCCACAAGGTGAACTTTAGAACACACGTGGAGTCCCCAGCTCTGTAAAACTGACTACAGCACTTCTCAGCAACCTGTCAAAAAGAAGAGGTTTCCTCTGAAGAGGCTGCTCTGACCCAGAGCTGCTGTGTCTGCTGTCACTCTGCACAAACAATGCCCAACAACTCCAGTCACTTCCAATTTCATGCAGACAACAGGGAGCATGACAAGTGTTGGTACCTGTCCACTTTAATACTTGTGCTGGTACAGACTAATAGAGATAAGGACCACCTCAAACTAGGACAAGGACTTGAACTCAAACTGGGACAGAGGGATCACAGCCTTCACTCAGAATCAACATTTCACTTTTGGAACAGAAAGAGGGAAAAGTTAGGTAACTTTAGATGACAATTATTTCTGCAATAACATGGATAAACCCAAACACACACAGAGTAAAATTAAAATAGTGAATGCAGAAGTTAAAATGTTCATTTAGGGAAGCATGTTTTGGAAAAAAAATGCACATCATGCAAAAGAGAATGAATTGGGAAGAGACAGTCTGCTGTCATCCTGGCGGTCGCAGGAGAGAAGCAAAGAGCTCAAACCTACTCAGAAATCAGCCTGAGCTCCAAATGACCCCAGAACAGCTGGATTCACATGGAAGGGAGAGCAAGGGCTCCCAGCTGGGAGGGTGGGTGCTCCTGTCTTTCCCAGCACTCCTGCTGTGCTCCAACAACATCCCCCCTGCACCCAGCAAAGAGCTCCAAACAGCTCGGGGCTGGGGACGTGGGGGTTAATTCCGTGTGCAGCCCCTCAGCACCAGCACTCGAGAACAGCCCAAAGGGGGAAGGCCTCACAGCCCTAAAGCTCTGCCAGCACCACTGCCAGCTGCAGGGTGCTCATGTCAGACAGGTCCATGTCAGCTCCTCCACCTGCACCTCACCCAGGTGAGCCAGGGGTGCCCAGGTGAGCCAGGGGTGACCCAGGGGTGCCCAGGTGAGCTGGGGGTGCCCAGGTGAGCTGGGGGTGAGCCAGGGGTGCCCAGGTGAGCTGGGGGTGAGCCAGAGGTGCCCAGGTGAGCCAGAGGTGCCCAGGTGAGCTGGGGATGCTCAGGTGAGCTGGGGGCACTCAGGTGAGCCAGGGGTGAGCCGGGGGTGCCCAGGTGAGCTGGGGGTGAGCCGGGGGTGCCCAGGTGACTCCCTGTGCTCCAAGCTGCTGCCGTTCCGTGCTGGGAGCAGCCGGGCAGAGGTGCCTCTCTGGGCAGAGCTCACCCCTGCCAGGCTGCCAGGGCTTGAGTTACACTGGCAGCAGGCAGGGCTCCACGTGAGCAGGGAACACCAGCCGAGGAGCAGGATTATCTCAGCCAGCCCAAACCAGTTCCTGTGCTGCTGAGAAGTGCCAGGGCTCCCTTCCAGGCAGAGCTGTCATGGAAAGAGCGCGGCTCTCCCAGGGCGCTGCTGCCCGCGCAGGGAGTGCCCCTGCACATTTATTTTAAGGGTTGAGAGGCAAACTCTGCACCTCTTGAATGAACCCTGGGCTTCTGTATCGAATCGCCTCATTATTAATAATAATAATGCTTGGGCTGAAAAGCAGGAGTCTGCAGCTAAAAATATTTCTATTGTTCTGGTTACACTCACTTTGGCTTGTAAAGCAGTTGAAAGGTTGCCGAGTTACTGGAAAAGCAGGAGCTGGGTTACAAGCTGGAAATAAAATTTGCAAGCAGCAATTCCCAGTATTAGAGAGACCTGAAGATACTTAAAAAATAAACTTTGACTGTATAATCTCTTTCTGATAGACTGCTAGATTATAAAAACATCCAAAGGGAAACATGCAACTCGAGATCTGTCACATTTGGTTAGTCCAACACTCTGAATATTCAGAGTTTTGTTAGACATCAGCACGTACTTCCAAATAATTCAGGAAAAAACCTGTATATACCAGACAATTCAAAAAAGCAGCTACAGGAGCTTCCTCCCAGGTCCCATCAATTAGCTCTTGCTTTCTGTTCTGCACAGAGCCCAAAGATTTATAACCCTCTCAAAAGCATTTTTAATCCTGCCTTATGTAACTGTGAACTTACTTGGCCCTTCCATCTATAATCATGCAGTCATTTCTGAACCTAAGCATCTCCCCAATTGGTTAATATTCAGAAGCAAATTCTAAAGACATGTTCTACATACATTGCAGTCAACTGCTATTTACTGCCTTTACACTTCTTATGAAGAAAAAAATTGTTCTTCCAGCAGCTTTAAGAGAAAAATGTGCCTTCTCCCTACAGCCCATTGATCTGTGTTTGATCTGCTGTTTGATCTCCTTCCTGAAAGAGCTTCAAGCAAAAAAGAGAAAATAAACCAACCAACCCATGCACACTTTAGGAACTGCTGCTGGTAACTCATGGCAAATTTCACTTATTCACATAAACCTCACCATGTATTCTAAACCAAAAACATACCTAGGTCCCTATATTTTGATTGCTTTTAGTGGCTCCTAGGGATTTATTTCTACCTTCTACCCAAGTACTAGACAGGTCCACAAAGGTACAGCTGAATTTTGAAGCTCTCTTACATAGAAAATGAAGCAGAGACTATATATACACTGAAGTGACTAGAGCTGAACTTTATTTTCAGTTAAAGCTATCAGGCAAGGACAAGCTCATTCCAACTGAGAGGTTTAATTACATTCCCATGTTCTGTTATTTAGGACTCCATTTTCCTCCCACGTGGGATGGGGATATCACCAGTGACCCTGTCTGCCTCTCCACCTCAAGGAGAAGCAGGAAGAGTGATGAAAACAAGCCCAGAGAAGGCCAGGGCAGGGTGAAGGCACTCACCTCCTCACAGACCTCGCGCACGGCGGCCACGCCGGGCTCCTCCTCGGGCTCCATGCCACCCCCGGGGACAATCCATCGGTCTGGATGGCGACTGCTGCTCACCAGCAGCACCTGTGGAGAGCACACACAGCTGATGGGGCACCAGCTGAAGGGAAGAAGATCATCTTTGTGCCCCACACACCCCCAGCCAGCCCTGCCGCTGCTCACTTCTCCCTCAGCCCCATCCGCACAGCCGTGCAAATCCCAGCAGCAGCGACACCGAGGCGCTCCCACACTCTGTGTAACCTCAGCCACTGCCTCTCCCTGCCCTGATGCACGGCAGGAGAAACTGTCCTTGCACACCAGAGCACTCACTGGCACTGGGCACAGCATCACCCACGGGGGCTCACTGCAGAGTTCTCACAGCTTGGGATAGACCCCAGGTAACAACACAAATGCACAGATGCTGCTCAGCACCTCCACCCTTTGCAGAAGCACCTTGATTTAATTCTCCTGCTGCCTTTGGCCCTGCCTGTCCCTGCAGTTCTGTCACTAACAACACATACACAGCCCAGGAGCTCCCACTGCACTATTAGTGTGCAATTGTCTGAACACAGATTCTCAGCCTCACTTCTTCTGCAGCAGGCACTGAGGATTCAGCTCTGGAGCCAGAATTTGGCTACTTTTGGTTTAGAGGAGTTTGTTTAATGAGGTATAAGCAAAATAAAAGCCTATATTAAACCTACTAAACTTAAACCCCCCCAAGAAAGAGCTGCATGGAAGGACAGACTTTTTGTGAATGAGAAAAATGGTTCAACCCTCTTCCCAGGAGGGATTTACCATACACATGCTTTGTGGCAGGTTTTCTTGAAACAGTATGTTTCATTCCAGGGTAATTCTGCTCTGTAGAAGTTCAGGTTCTGATTTGCCTTCCCAGCAAGACAAACTCTAAGTAACACTCTCAACTGGCTACAGACTGTCCCAAAGAACAGCGAGACGCTGTGCTTATTAAATCTACTTGCAATACACCCATGAGCAGAGATGGAAACTTAAAACAACACTAATACTGTTGTCCAGCTCTCCAAACAAAGCTCCTTCATTAGAGTCATCCTGCTGTACTTCATCATTTCATGGGCACAAAGCTCAGAGCCAAAGCGACTTGCTCCAGAAACTTTCCAACATACCAGTCCAATTAGGTTCCAGGCCAGCTGTAACAGTGTCAGACATTTGGGAGTTACACTGCAGAGACACTGAAATGCCAGGCTTTACTGGGGAAACAGTGATTTGCCAGTAGGATATGAAAAGATTTGCACTAATTACCCAAAGGAATCTACCTACAGAACTCAAATTAAATTTCCAAAACAAAAACAAGCACAAGATTTCCAGGATTTTTCAGTTGGTTTACCATGAAATTCTCTGACCAATCTCATCTTGGAAACAAATGAAGCTGCATGAGCCACCTCAGTTCCACAGTTCCAAGTGGGATGGTGCCTGCCCCATCCTCTGGCCAGGTTGTGACAGAACATCGTGTGCTTTACAGTGACATCCCAAGTGTTTGGCCCTCTCCAAGAGGAAGGCAGAATTCCTTTCCTCCAGGCATCCAGTCCATGTAAAACTCCACCAGAAAGCCATGCCTAAATAGGGAATGTAAACTTCATTCATCCTCAGAGCCCTCGGGACAGCAGCCAGTCCCAGCCAGGCTCCCCAGCCACCTCACTTTGCCACTGTGCCTCTTCCTAGCACAGCACTCAACTTCTCCATCCCCACTCATCACCCAAAAGAGTTTGGACTCAAATTCCTGACTCCAGGTCAGCTGGTGATTCTGAGGACAAAGACAAAAGAGCAGGAACAGCCATTTCAAGTGCACCTTTGCTGCCAGGTAGGGAAGCACCAGCTCTGCCACTTCCCATTGCAATTCAGACCTCCAGCTCGAGGGGAAAAAAACCCCAGAAAAATATTAAAAAAAACCCCAAAGAACCAGATCTTTGAAACTCAGCACAGCACATCTCACAGCCCTGAACTCCTGCCACCTTCCAGGTGTGAGAACAAGGACCTGCTAGGGAACCCTGGACACAGACTGCTCCAGGAAACCTGCTCGGGCTGAGACAATGCCTCAGCAACACACCAGGAGGAACTTCTGGGTGCAAACAATGGTTTGAGGCAAAGTAAATTAACTTCAGCTGCTCTGGCAGTTGAGCATTTTCTGAATAGAATTAACATGAACAACCCTTGCTGGGAAGGAAAAACCTGTCATTCTCACACTTTTATGTAATCAGACTATTTCCTGTTTAATAAAAAGGAAATCCCATCAAGAGACTGCAGGAAACAAGCCCTACAAGGTCATTCTTTTAAAACAACTTCAAACAGGATATTGCTACCAATGAGCTCTCCCAAGACAAAGGGGCTGAGTTCCAAAGGAGGGGGAGACATTGCTGTGTTGGAAAAAACCCACACTTCCACCACCAGCCCTGGATCCCAATACATGCAATGCATTCAGAGAGATCAAGGAAAAAGCTGTCAGCATCCAAACCCCAAAAAGGTTTGGGTTGGAAGGGATCTTGAAGCCCATCTCATTCCACTCCCTACCACCTTCCAGTAGACCAGTGCAGGGTACAGCTGACTTTTTAGCTCATTAACTTCTTTGTTACATAAATAACTTTTATTTTAATACATCCTAAAGTAGTTAATTTAATCTAAACAGCTATCAAAAAATAACCCAAAATTTAGTTATGTTTTTAAATCAGGCCAGAACACGTAGGAAGGTCAGATATTTCCATTTTATCCTTGCCAAGCAACTGTGTTTAAAATGGCTACTGAGACTCTTGGCCTGCCAGGAATTTTGGAGTTGGATTTTGGAGCCACGTCCTGCAGACTTTTTGGAAAAGCATTTGCAGGTAACACACATGTCACATGGCCAAGTTGTGTTTTCCAGGATTTCAAAGACAATTATGTCATTTCAAAGCAGGGAAATGAGCAACACAAGCCTCTCTGGCAAGGCAGGAGGTGGCCCTGCTGAAACTCTCCCACACAATCCCCCACAAAAGAGAAAGTTTAGAAAAATAAGCCAAGTTTGAAGTGTGCAGCAGGGGCTCAAAGCAGAGCCTCATGGCAAGAACCTTCAAAGCTGCACACAACAAACAAACCCAAACAAACCTGAGCAGTACCAACCCCGCCTGGAGGAGACAGGAAACACACCAAGACATCCAAGGCTGCCCAGCCAGCTGCATGGAGTAAGGAGCTCCACGGGAAAAGGGGTAAAGAGTTTGTCCCTGGGATAAATCTGGGCACCCCCTTACACAAAGCTGACTTTAAAACAACCAACACAAACCTGCTGTATCCACGTGGAGGGGTTTTTCTGTCTTCTTTTCACAGGAATCATGAGGCTCTGCAAAGCAAGAACTGGGCAACCAGGATCAGGCAGAGATTTAACTCCTCATTTGTGGAACAGAGGAGCAGATTCCCAGGCTGTTCCACGCTGTGGTGGATTCAAACAACATCCACCACCCATAAATAAAACAAGAGCAGCTCCACCGTAAGGAACACGATTCCTCGAAAGAGGCTCCACAGCAGCACTGGAGCAGACAGAAAGGGCCACAGCCCTGCGAGGAGCTGGGCCACAGCATGAGTAGAAAATGGGCTGAGAACCTTCCAGACCTCCAGGAAAAGCCAGTGCTCCCCACCTGTGCCAGCCGGGGCCCGGCGAGCTGGCAGCCAGCACAGGGAACAGCAGGCAAGATGTAAAATCCAGGGTCTGGCCCAGCAGCCTCCTGCTGCCAGGAGCTGATCCATAGCTGCTGGCTCCTGACACAGCCTCTGCACTGCCTTACAAGCTTCCTCTCAATATTTTCAGGCTTTCCCTCAATATTGACATGCTTTCTATCAATACTGTCGTGCTTTGTATCAACATTAAGCTATAAATCACGTCGTTTGCACGGAGACTGAAGCACAAACCTCCCGGCACTGCACCTCATTTCCCACTCCAGCATCATTTATCAGAGCACAGCCTGCAAGGAAACTCTGCTGCCGCAGAGGCTGCAGGAGCTGCGAGGAGAAGATGGCTGACTGCAAGGCTTTTGCAGTTCAATCTGCCTTTGTTTCAAAGTTTCAGTTTAAAATGAGTGTGTTCTCAGGAGCTGAGCTGTGCTCCCATGTGCCCCACGGCCAGGCAGATTCCAGAGCTGGTGCTGTGTCCAGCATAACAAACACCTTGGGTGCTTCACTCAAAATTAACAAAATTCTCCCAATCCCCAAATATCAGTCCTGTAATGCTTTTTCACCTGACAAAAGTGAGATGTCCATTTGACCACACCAAATCACCTTTAAGCCCTCTGACCAGCAAGGGGTGAGAACTGCAGGAGCAGGGGGAGAAGAGGGACACTGCTGTCACCAAAGCTGTGCAAAATGAATCTCATTTCCCTGGCAGCAACACAGCCTCGATGACTCCCCACCAAATCACGCGTTTTGCCAAAATGCAAAGGCAGTTTGCCCCAGGGTGCACGCCAGGGCTCACGGGAGGGCTTCTCCCACCCTCTTGCTATTCCAGGCACGTTCTGGAGCTCGCACATGGTAGGAGTGAATCCAGCCGGCCCTGCACCTGCCAGGGTCAGCAGCTGGGACCACAACACACACTCTCACCAGAAACCCCTCCCTGCCCATGACGCCCTGTCCTGCCAGGGGCATTCCAGCTCCTCAACAGGATACGTTTCCTTAGACAAGTGTTATTTTTGCACAGGCACCTGCACCAGGCTCCGTGGGATAATGGGATTTAACTGAAAACGTGGGATCCAGGAGCTGGAGGTGGGAAATTCACGGCAGGACGTGGAAAAGGGAAGGGATTTGCACTCGAGAACTTGACAAAAGTAAAGCACAAGTTTTGGAGCGGGAGCAAGAGGTGAACTGGAAGAAGTTCAAGTCATTTCAAGTGCTTGGATCGCACCTACAGTCCTATAACCAGAGAGGAAAAAATACAGCAGATTCTGTTGGTTTTTAGGCTGCTGGTTAGAATAACAATAATAAATCACCGCGTCCCGCGCTGCTGCTCTGCCTCCAGAACTCCACAGGTCCTGTTACTGCTACTGCAGCGCTCCTGCGACTTCAGAGCCACTGCCTGCTCCTGCCAGGGAGGAACACAA